GAAAAGGTAAAGGATTCATCAATTGCAATTGGCCTCAAGTCACTAATCCTGGACTTGGCAAGACTGGTGTAGAAGGATGACTGATCCGCTTGATCCGAGACTGGGGTTTGTAGGCAAGCGCTGGGGTGGGGAGGGAGAAAGAGTCGACAGTCATTTGTCTTATAGCATGTTGATTTGCTTTTAGGTTAAACAATAGGGGTTTTGTTTACAGAGATGAAGGTGGGTGTTAATTTTTTTTCTTGAGACTGAGCACATACTAAGACAAGACGGAATTTCTAGTCAGGGCTGTGAACCCCAATGGCCCTTGATCCCATGCTTGAAACTGTTGTTGCTTGTCCACTGCCTTTCTAAGCAAATTCTAGATTGCAGGTTAGCTAGAGGACGGGTATGGGAGAGGAGGTGGGCAGAGATTTCATTCCTGTGTCATGCATATTTCAGTATGACTCTGTTTTACGTGGGCCTCCAGATGCAGTGAAGATTCTGCCAGGGGAGTTTGTACTTAAACGATTGTATACTCCAGGTGGGAAAAACATTTCTTTTGCCGTTGTCCAGAGTTAACTGTTTAAAAATTCTCCTGACCAGTGAGTGGCTCCTTCTGGTTGAAACAGCCTCACACTGAAGTGAACTCCATCGTCCTGCCAGACGCATTCATACCAAGGATGTTTAGGGGCAGTTCTGAGATGTAATTTGCAGGACTAAGAGGTGCCAGCACTTCAACAGCAGGCAAAGCCGCTCCAGGGAACAGTGGGAGGAAGGGGCGAAGCACAGTTCTGACACCGGCCTTTGTTCCAGTTCCTCCAAGTTTTGGAAGCAGGTAGCAGAGGGACACACAGGAACTGGTGGGACTGGGAACAGGCCAGTCAAGTTATAAAATCCCTGACGAATTTTATATCAAAGGAGGAACTGTTGTGGGGAAAGCACTAGATTGAGAGTCAGAAAATCTGGGTCCTGTTCTAAGCAAATCACATGAAAGATCTTGGCCTCGGTGTCTTCATCTGAAAAACAAAAACACGGTAGCCCGGACTGGACCAGGGCAGGCGAGATAGTTAAAGCTAACTCCTAACTCCTTTCGTCTGCTTCATGTTTCAGGGGCTCCCGCTGAGATTTTATTTAACGAGTAGAATCTGATGCTGAAATAAGTTTAAAAGACTCCTAGCTAGGCCGTGTTTCCTAAGACGTTTCTGCTCTAAAATTCACATACTCTGGGGAATAACCTGTGGCTGCATTTAATGGAATGCTCACGAGTCTAATTGTTTTCGTTATTGATACTCAGCACATTTGTTATTTGATTTTGAAAACAGCTTCGTGTCAAGCACGATTCGGGATTTCTTAGCTTGAGTCCATGGGTGGATGTCTGGGGGTCTGAAACCCCTGCACACACGTGCGAGATTTTGTGGACATGGGCATACAGAAAGATTTCAAACAAGCGATTCTCAACAAGCGAATGAAAGCAGTGAACGGGAGGGAGTCAGATGTGTCCAGGCCTCAAGCTGACACAGGAATTTCAACAGAACGATAACAGCCTCCCAAGTCCCCTCCCAACTGCACCCCCTTCGGAAGGTGCCGCGCCCGCGGCCTCCTGACGGGCAGGGAGGAGCGCCTGCGGGACGTGGAGGGGCCAGCGGTCCCCCAAACCTCACCTTTTCTAATACCTGAAAGACGCCAAGGTGGAACTCCTTGGCTGTCCGCGCCACGCCTCCTCAGCCCCGACCTGTGCCTGCCAGGTGGCAAGCAGCACACGTTCTCCGCGGTTTGTCTGTAGCCCTGTTAAGCGGGAGCTCTAAGGGGCTCGTGGGCCTGAAGGTAAGTCTTCTTAGAAGGCCGCGCCCGAGAGTCATTGGGAAGAATGCGAGTGAAGGAAAACAAGGGCGTCTGGCCCTTCTGTTCGGGAGGCCTGGCCTTGGGAGACCTGTTTTCCCGAGGGCGCTTCCAGCTCTCCTCGGCACCAGATACCCGCGTGAGCACCAGCATCCTGCTCAGGAGCAGCCCCCTGGCCCTTCTGCAGCCCCGCTGCCGGGGTGTGGGGGGAGTGCAGCAGCGAACCGGGCAGACACTGGCCGGGAGCGGGAGCGGGTGTGAGAAAGGCCTCCGCACCGTGAAAGCCTCACGGGATGGGCGTGGAGCCTGTCACGCAGCAGGGCCCACTTGCTGTCACAGCCGGCTGCTGAGGCAGACGCCCGCGGCCAGGCGGTGAGCGGGGCGAGAACCGGGCCGGGCAGGAGCCAGCGGCCGCCCTTAGAGCTGGAAGCTGCCTGAGGCGCCGGGGGCAGGCTCGGATCTAACTCGGTCGCTCTCCTTTCCTTGCAGATGCTGCACAACAAACACGTCATGGTCCGCGTGGGAGGCGGCTGGGAGACCTTCGCGGGGTACTTGCTGAAGCACGACCCCTGCCGGGTGCTGCAGATCTCCCGTGTGGATGGCAAGACGTCCCCCATCCAGAGCAAATCCCCGACCCTTAAGGACATGAACCCAGACAATTACCTGGTGGTCTCGGCCAACTCTAAGGCTAAGAAGGAGATTAAGTGAAACCAGCTGGTCACGACAAGGGGACTCTCCTAGTGGCCCGTGCCGTGCCCACTTCTCCAGTGTAGTCAGTTTAGCTCACAGGCTCTGAAAATTACTTTGGAAAAAGGGGTAACACACAGAAAAATGTCCTCATACTGAAAGAGGTTCTAAGAGTAGCACTATTTATTTTAATGCTTCTTTAGAACATGGCCTGTGAAAAATTCTAAAATCGGATTTAGATTAGAGAAACTGTAGGCGAATTATTACGTCTCGATAGGCGAGCCCAGTACTTAGAACACAGTGTTGGAAACACAGCTCTAGCTAGAGGGAAAAACTGTTGTTAGGAGAAAAGATTTAGGATTTACAGATAAGGAAACAGGAAGTGCCTCCTTTATGTCTACAGAGTAAAAGCACCCCAGACATTTTTATAATTGCAGGATTTTAAAGCTGATTTTTAAAACAGTGACAATTAGTGTGACAATGTGCTACCAAAAATATCCGACAGCACTTTAAATCCACATGGAGTATTCGCAACAGGAATGCTTGGCTGGAGAGGCCACTTCAGAAAAGTTTACATTCACTTGGAAGATTGCCTTAAAGCTGATCCCTTACCTATGACCAAATATCTGGGGTCCTTTTGGAAGTTTTCAGCGCACCCCTTAGAAAACGGCTTATGAATCGTCCCACACATTCCTGAGAAACGTGGCTGTGCTGAGACTGACAGTGCAATTCACACGCATAAGCTGACATTTATATTTTGACAGAGTAAACTGTACAGTCAAATGTTCATTGACTTCATGTTATTTTAATAAGCGTTCTTATTAAAGTATACCTTTAGTTAATCCTACTTTGCTATGCTGTCTAGTCAAGTCCATTCACTGTAGCTAATGATGTTACAGACCTATGTATACCCTTGTACACCTAGGACACAGCTGTTTTGTACCCATAAACAGCAAAATATTGTCCTCGCTGATTCAACAATTAAAGAGAGAAATTGAAACATTTTTTGTCTCAGTATCAATCAGTGGTTCACTCTGAAATAAAGGTGACCTTCGGGTGGCATCTTTCCCTGAGTTACCAGAGTCCAGTTGCAGTTACCCAGGACGGCTTCACTGGGGGCGGCTGAGGGTGGCGGTGTGCGCTCGGCTAGGCGGACAGTCTAGACTTTAACATTTTGTAAGGAGGGACATTTACCTTGGAACTGAGTAACTGTAATATCTTAAAATAGATATTCAGTGATTTGATTTTCACATTACTAAACTAATACTAACACTGAGTTTCTCTGTATAACTGGCAACAATCCATCAAAACTTTCTCCCGTGCCTCATGTTCCCCGTAAACATAGTTATATCTTTAATAATTAGAATTAATTTTGTTAGTGTAGTCTTAAAAATATGTCTAGGTGAACAAAACTATTAACCTCTTCATGTAGCTTTGTTTTCTGACCTAACACCACACGTTCCGTTACAGTACTGTGGTCCGGAAGTCTGATGTCTCGCTGGGCTCACCGCTACATGTCGGCAGGGCTGTGCTCCTTTGCGAGAGAACCCACTGTGTTGCCTTTTCCACCTTCCAGAGGCCGCCTGATTTCCTTGGCTCACGTACCCCTTCCTCTGTCTTCAAAGCCAGAGACATCTCAGTGATGCCTCTTTCTTTACATCTCTGTCAGACCACAGGTTGGAAACCTTCTCCGCTTTTAAGAATCCACGTGATTAGATTGGGCCCACCTAGATAATCCAGTATATTCTCCTACGTTATAATCGTTAACTGAATCGCATCTGCAAAATACCTCTCACCACACAACGTAACATACTCCCAGCTTCCAGGGATTAGAATGTGATCCTGTCTGGGGGACAGTGGCATCATTCTTTCTACCTATGCCACTTGTATGCTGGTCATTTAAGTGTCACTAAGAACACGGTGACAGTGACATCGGGGCCTAGCGGCTAGCTGGATGGCACTACACTAGGGGTAAGGACAATGGGACTACATTCAGAAGGAAACAGCCAAATGTAGACGGATCTTACTGACTCCTTAGTGAACATTACTGGTGTTTTTTTTTCAAAATTGTTTTAGCTATTATAAATGTTACATTTCCATATAAATTTTAGGATCATCTTGTCAATTTCTCTGAAAAAGCTTGCTGGGATTTTGCACTGAATTTATTGATCAATTTTGTGAACTGCCATCTTGACAATATTGAGTCTCCCAATCGGTGAACTGTAATGTCTCACCATTTCTGTCTTAAAAAAAAAATTCAGCAGTTTTGTAGTTTTTAGCTCAGAACTTTAACTTCTTTTGTTTTTTCCTAAGTATTTTCTCTTATTTGATGATTAGAATTACCTTAATTTTTAGATTATTATCTTAACTTTCACACAGAAATAGAATTGACCTTCATATATATATCTCTAGTATTCTGCAAACTTGCTTAACTCATTTATTTTACAATATTTTTATGTAGATGTGTAGTTTTCTACATGAGACACTTGATATTCTTTTTAAAATGTACGTGAAGTAGGTCTAATCTTTGACTAAGAAACGTAGAACAAGAAAACGGTACCTTACGTGTTTGGTAGATTGAGGCGTTTAGGATAACTCCTTGCCTTCTTGGAGATCCCAAGCAACAGCCTGGAGAGAGCCAGTTTCTGTGTAGAACTAATTTCCATTTGAGGCAAGTCTGAAGTAGTTGCAACAGATGACTCAAACCTGTTTTTATGACTGGAAGACATTAACTCAAAACTCTATGCAAGCTGAGTACAGTGCTATAAAAACAGACAATGCAATTCAGGATATAATAAAAGTATCACATCCAGGTGAAGTAATTTAGGAATATTCAGCTCTTAAACTGCAAAGGTCATATTTAGAGGCAATATTTGCAAAATGACCGGTATCTAGAAGAGTGAGGATGGCAATAAAAAGCCACATCATAGGAGAAATGTAAAGGGTTGGAGTTGTTGGGGCAAAAACTTCTGTCAAATCAGAATTTTTTCTAAGTCTGCCATATACACAAATGCCTTGTCAGTGGCTTTTGAGAAAATTAAAGAAAATGGCCACAGTACCACATCTGAACCAACGTAAAGCACACACAGAGGCCATGGGAATCTGAGATGCTTGCTTGGAGATGTTGAAGGAATACACCTTAAATCTCAACAGAGAGGCATGCGTATCTGCCGACCAATTACTGATCTACTTATGCAGAAGTTTCTACTCAAACCTAAAATCGACAGGTTATGTTTGCTTCTAAGGGCGCAGCGTAAGTCTTCAGCAAACAAGCTGAACTGCTGGAGGAGAAAAGGAAAATTCAAGGTTTATGTCACATTCCCCTGGGGTACACAAGGATGGCAGCTGGAACCTATTATACTATATTATTTCTCTAAGAAAACAGGAGACTCATAATATCATTTCTTCCTCAGTATTGAAAACAAAACATGCCTAGCTACAAATTCAGGGATTGTATGAACACACCAAACAGCTTTTAGCTCTGTTCTCATGAATCCTAAAGAGATGAAAGCATTGCCGAGGTTTCCCTAACCACTAACCCAACTTCTCATTATTTAAGATGTAGTGAAGATAAAATTTTCGTAAACAGAGACAGCCAAAGCCAATTTTTATATAGGAAAAATGTATATTTATATCCCTACATGGCAATACAGAATTTATAAAACCATGTGTGAGAAAACTAGTAATTACCTTCCAAACACAATCGGCAGAACAAGTGTCACATATAGATGCTTTAAAAAACATGCACTGTGTCAAGAACAAGGCCGTGTGACAATATACAACTTTTTGTCACCAGCCACATTCATATTAATAGTTTGGAGACTAGAATTAAAAAGCAATGATTTAGGCATTTTCCATTTTAACACAATAGTTACATATATGCATTTTACTGTTTCATTTATATTTTACTCATTTGGTTTGGGTGCCATATTAAGCATTATGTTTTCCTATTTAAATTATGAATTATGGTAAATTGGCTCCAAATTAGGTTTTCATCAGAAAGTGATTTGTAACTTTAGGAGAGAGATGCCTGATCTATCTGTATGTACGTGTACATTACATTTTTTAGTAGTAATTTACTGGTTTCCTATCAGGCACTTAGTCTCCCCCTTCCTCTTCCCAGCACTATTCCTAGCATTTGAGTATCACCCCTTAGTCTGTGTACCCCAGGTGGTTTTGGGAAGCTGACCACACGCATGGAGGTAGGTCACCATTTATGACTGGAGCAGGACACCCCACTGTTCCCATAAAGCAATACATCAGCCTCTCATTCATGGTTTAACAGTAAGTAAGTGTTGTGTTTGGATAAAAACTGCTATTAGAAATAGAGCATTATCCCCTAGATCTAAACCTGTTGTTTACACTAACCCAAGTTATAATTCTTTAGGATGTAGTACAGATAAAATTGTTCTTTCTATATTAAAACAGAAGGAAAGATTTGCACAGTTCAAGGATGTTAGGTTTGGTTCTATCTCCATTCAGCTGCTAATGATCCTTTTTCCTTTCTGCCTTGGAAAAATTAAGCATGTTCATAAAGTCAAAATTTTATTTCTAGAATGCAACCCAATAACTTCCCAATCCTTTATGAACAACAATACCACTAATCTTCTAAGAGATGAAGACAATTTAGCCTAAATATGTGTCTTGCATGGGTATCATGAAATATTTTATGCCGTCATAGAAAAGGTAATTTTTCCAATGAGTCAAGAGACCTATATTATAGTTCAATCTCATTAAAATTAACATATAAAATATACTGCAATATAACACGTCTTATGGTAGGGATGAGTGAGACAGTGGCTCAGTTTCCTTTCTGTAAATCAAATGAGCTGGCCTACTTAATTTAGTCCCCACTTAGTATCTGCAAATTCTAACTTAGGTCTCGGGATGTAGCCTTGCCATCCAAGAGTTAGCAACCATCATAACTAATTACAAGATATAGCAATTCTTCTATTTTAGCTTATTATATATTAAAAAGAAATATTCAAGAAACAAAAATGCTATAAAACTCATGTTACTAATAAACAAAAATCTACAAAGTTTATGATTATGCATCATATAGAATTACTTCATAATATTTTTATATCTAAAGTAGTCCTTTCAAATAACAGTATTTACATGTTTCTTTTTCATACATTCATATTTGCCTTGGCAACTGCATATCTGTATAAATCTTATGACCGTTTTTTAAATAAATACAAAACAGTAGAAACATCTATGAAATTTGGACAAATATATCACCGCCCAGTATAACCCATCTAGATTCTTAGTTTAACTCATTCAGTAACTACAAAGATCTTCATGGAGTTGAATCTGACACGTATAATAGTACACCACTGCCCTCTGATGGTAACTCTAATATATTTTAAATTCAAGCAAAAGAAATTATTGTAATGTAAAACAGTATGTTAAGTTTATAAGCTACACAAGTAAAAAATAAATTAGGAGAAATTCAGTATTTTCTACAAATGTTCATTACTTAATGAGTTATAAAAATTTACAGTGTTCCTTCATATAATCCCTTCAAATGACTTTTTAAGACTTTTCCTGCAGATCAGTTTAAAGGCACTAAGTCCACAAGTTTAAGCAAAAGTCGTCATATATAACCAAACAAAAGGGAATGTAAAGCTAAACAGCACAACTACAAATAGCTAGGCCATCTTATAAAGGAGGAAAAATGAAACTGAAAATTTTAATATTTGAGATGTATGCAGAATCTTTCCATGCGATGTACATATATTCACTATTTAGATTTAACTACTAAAAATGGAGAATTACCCACTACTTGCAAAAGCAGCAAATGTAGGAAAATAGGTATTCAATGAAAGGTCTGGCCTTTTCTAAGTCTGACAATCAAAAGCATTTTCAATATTTCAATACTGAAAAAGCATTGCATTTAATGGCACTAAAATTACAAAGTCTAAATCTTCATTTTCAAAGAGAATAAATTAAATTGAGGATGTCCACTTGATTGCAGATATTAGTTATTGGCAGTAGACTTTCACTCATAGTATCCTTTATGAAACTGTCCACTAGAAAATAAAAATATACAGAGAAAAGTAAATTTTATTTACGGTTACAAAACAACAGTCCACGTAAACAAATAGGCAGAGAGAGGGCTATGGGGTATGCCAGCGATTTTCAACTGGTGCTACAAGAATTTTTAAAACATGCAACACCTGACTATTTAGTCAGGGGCACTAACCTCTTTTCCCTTACACTGTCAAGTAAAAAAATGACAACAGCCAACTTAATAGCTATCCGGTGTGAATGAATCAAAATTTTATCTATTTTTTTGTCCAATTGGCAAAAAATATAATGTATTTTTTGGTGTGAGGCAGAATTTTAGTAATTAGTTTATGTGTGCCATGAGATGAAAAAGGCTGGAAATCGCTGGGATATGCAAATGCAAACTAATTTTTGTGATTAGCAGTGATTGGTAAAACTTTATATTACAGTCAAAAGTCTGAAATAAGATATACAATGGTTTAGAAAATACAAAGTAATAAAACAAAATATCTGGTCAGATTAATGGTAGCTAAATTCCAAATACCTAATAATCACTTAAGGAAAGAAAAGGGAAAAAAGAAACAAACACCACCGAATAAAAACTATGAAACAACAAAATGAAAATAAAGGAATTCTTGTTTGAGGCACGGAACCAGGGAATGGTAGCCATGATTCAATAATAGTTTGGCAGTCTTTTCCTTGCTTGAGCTGAGAACTTATTCCACTTGCTGTTCTGTTTAATCAAGTCTATTAAATCTGCAATGATAGGTTCTGAAAGAGCCATTCGGATAGGACCAGAGATATTTTAAGTCTACTGAGCAGTGTTTTCCAAGTGTATCCAATGAATATTATTGGGTGTGTGTGTGTATATATATGTATATATGTAAATACATTTTTTAAATTAAGGTTTATTCCAAGTAAACTTGCGTTTCTTTATTGCAGAACTTCTTAGAGACTTGAATACTGTACCCTTTTTAATCTTCGAGAAAGGGATATAGTATACAATATAGTATTCAGAATTTTAAAACATTCTTCTACCATGGGACTCTTTTCCACAATGTATCTCTCAGGACTACAGTTAAAGACACTGGAGCAGTGATTCTCAGTCTGGTTTGACATTAGATTACCTTGGGGAGCTTAATCAAGTACTGATGGCCACACCCCACTCTCAAAAATTCTGACTGTGTGAGGTGGGGCCCAAGGCTCAGCCCTTTTCTGCAAGCTCCTCATGAGACTCTACCGAGCAGCCGGGGCTGAGGGCCACTGCGCCCGAGCTCGGCCATCGCTCCTGCAGTGCCGTATCCTGTACCGATGCTAGTCTGCATCCTGATGCCACTGTCCCCTTGACTTCTTAAGATAAGGCTGCCTTTCCAAAGGACAGTCATAATACCAATGCCAATTATCCTGGAAGAGGCAGAGCTGGTCAGAAATGCTATGTGGAGGGCACAGAGACAGGAAAGGGACATCTGCCTCACACCATGGGGTCGGGTCAGATCAGGAAGACTCTACCTACACTCGGACATTGCAGGCCAGCCTGGGGAACAGGCCTGGGAGCAGCCCTCAAAGAACCCTAGGCCAAAGGGGTTCAGAATGAAAGTTACTCTCTGCCTTGTACTTTTCCTTCTGTTATCCCTGAGCCCCCCACATTTTATTATGGACTTAACAGAATACTCTGGATGAGCGATGCTTGTCACCAAGGGGAAAGCAGCATGTCCCTGAAAGCTAGTGATTTGATGGGAGGAGCGATTAGGAATATCCCAAGGAAAAATGACGGTGGTAACAGCAGTTGGTTCACGAGAATGAGCCACTCTTATTGGGAAAATCCTCCCATCACTGCCCAGTCTGCTGGCCTTGAGGGTCATTTTTATCAAAGAAGCCAGAGATTTCCTATCAGAACAATATACAGAGAAATAAAGGTATTAAATTTACATTGCAATGTTTTTTCATTTTGAGCACCGCTGAGGGGACTAGACGTGATATAAGACCTAATTTATATTTAATCTATAGGCTTCAGGGCATGGAAACTTTAATCCTAATTATGAAAGCCCTTTCTTTCTTAGAGTTGAAAAGCTGATGTTACAGTTGTTAGCTGAGAAGTTGTAAATTAAGGACCTTCTAATTATGACTAACTTATAAAGTATCCTTTTCTTATATGTGACTTTAAGTCACCCAGTACCTCCTTTCCACTACTATAAAACTGATCTCAGCATTGTTACCAGTCCTATAATTTAATTTTTGCAAATTGTTTTTGAGAACCCTCTATGAAGTAAACCTGATGACATAGATCTTTACCTCAACAGAATATTGAAAGTAAGCATCTACACTTTCCATAAATATTTTGCCCTGTATCTCCCAACTGTTTTACTTTATACTAAATTTATTCTATCATTGGGGGGCTATAAAAAAAACCTAAGCAAAGTGATCAGGGCTATTTACCTTAACATTGAAATCAATTATTTTATACATTGTTAAAAGTAAACAATGAAAAATATTTTAATTTCATTTATCAAGTGAAATTAGATGAAATAACATGCAATTATAAAACACACACAGATAAATCTTATCTCTGTGTGATATTCCTGAGCCAGAATCACATCCTCACAGGCTGCCCCACAAATTAGGAATACACACACACACACACACACACACACACACACACCTGTATGTATTTATATATAGTTTTGAGAGCAAAAACCAAACTGAACTGAGAAGACTAAATAAGTGTTCATAAATCACTGAAAAGTTAAATGTAACTGACCAAAATTCAGAACACTGTCCTTTTCACAAATGCACTTACTTGAGAAATGTATTTCCTTTAAAAATAGACTGGAAAAATCTTAGTATCTGAACCATTATTTTTCTAAGTTTTATTTTAACATGTAAAATAAAACCTTTATAGTCCTACTAGGCTGTAAAGATCCCCAAGTTCAAGGACCTTGTTTAATTTGTCCGCCATTGTATTTCCAGCGTCAAAAGCTGCAATTGGCACACTGGAAGGTGCATGTGTCACACTCACTCCTGTACAGCCTGCTGCCCAAATTAACATTTACATAACTATGGTATGAGTGACAATGTAAAGAGCAAAAATATCAAATCACTGAGTAAAAACACTGTAGGTTATAAAAACAAATTTGTAGTGTAATCCCATTTAGTAGGATTGATGTACTAGTGGAAACGAGAAACAATGTTTCAAAATGACACTGAATTTGGGCGATTTTGACTTCTTTATACTCTTCCATATTGTTTGAGTTTTCTACACATTTAAGGTTTGTATTATTCATATAAAGTATTAGGATAATTAGGAAAAATCTACTTTAATTTTTGGGGGAAACAGTAAATATATTCCAAGTAAATGACAGAATGGCCCAAATAAACTGACACTCAAATCTGTATTATTCATGCTTTTAAATCAATTCAAAATCTTCTGATAATCCATCTCAACAGGAAATTATTGAATGGATTACCACTTAAGTTTTTAAAAATTCCAGGTAAATTTAAGTCTTAAATAAATTGTAATACTTACTCTAAGTCCACCTTCTGGTGGGGGTCCAGATGTAGCAATCTGTTTTTCTATTTTTTCCTTTCTCTTTCTCTTTTCTTCCACAGACTGAACATCCAAAATGCCCCGAGATGCAGCCTTTAGGAAAATTAAGGGGTACAAAACAACAATAAAAATCAGTATCCAAGCTTTCTTTTTTTTTTTTTTTGCTTTGGAGGTGGGTATTGGACTATTTTGGTAACAAAGAATTAGACTATTTCTACAACAGCTTTATATAAAACATATTATCATTTTTTCATTGGATATTTTGAAACCGTACCAATTTTCCTCCTAAACTAACTTCATATCTGTCAGTGTTTTATAAGGCATGGTCATTTTATCCCAGGGAATACTGTTATTAAAGGGGCATCTCACATTACGGAAGACATCTGTATAGTAATGTTCATACATTAAATTATATAAAGGCATTAATGTAATTTATAGAAACACAGAGATCATTGTGACAAATAATTAACTTTAAGTATAAATTTAGAAGACAGCAGTTACCATTTTTGTTAGAGAATACTACTAGTCAGACATCTATCAAGAATAAAGTACTAACTTAATTCTCTAAGTAGGTAAAATTTCCTTTTTACTCTCACCTCCTTCTGTCTTCTTTCTGCAGCCTCTGCTAGCTTTGCTCTTTTTTCTTCCTAAGGAAAATATACAAAAAATGTGTTTTAAAATAAAACCAAACATTGTCATGGATCATTTACACACGTAATCATATCTTATAGGTTATGTAACAGTTTATAAAAATATTTGGTATTGGCCCAAAATGTTTCACTAAGACTGCGAGTACTTACATGTATAAAATAATCATCTTTCTGAATGTCATTCTCACAATTAATCAACATACCTCCAAATAAGAACATGCTAAGTCATATATGTGATACATATTGTATGACATGTTATATATGCATATATATAACACAAGTTGGTCTATAAAATAATCTACTTGCTTTTGTTTTTAAAAAAAATGGCTTACAAGCAAGTTGGGGCAATGAAACAAGTGACATTTAATAATACAAGGTTTAGTACTGCCATTAAGGGAGTCTGAAGTAGGTTGGTGTTTTGGGGAAAGGTTCATGAATGAACTGGGGGAATCTCCCTGTGTATGACAGTGAGAACTGTAGCACATTCATGAAAGGTACTGTTTCATGTTGGGTAAGCTGAGTAATTTTCTGTATCATATATTAATTATAAAATCTTTAAATAACAGGACAGTAAGTAGCACTCTCTTGGGAGTTATGCTGATAATTCCCTTGTTTTCCATTGTGGTTATCTGTGGGGGTGGGTGGAGGGTTTAACAAATACTAACAGACTGGGATTTTTATCAACAGCCTGATAAACAACATTAACAACATTTAAAAGCAACAGTAGCAAGAAAAACAAGGTGAACTTCCTGGTACCAACTTTCAGATCATTTTAAGCAGCTATAATCAAAAGGCTGAAGAGCTGATGCACTTCCTTAAATAAATGCTTTCTTTCAACGAATTTTTTGCTAGATAGGAGGGAAGGGAGGGATTTGGGCTTTCTGTTATCAACTACCAGCAAGGAGTTATTAGCGAAAAGATAGTTAAAAACAGAAAGCCACAAAAAGCGTAAGTGCAGTGGACCACAAACTGCTAAGTTAAATGTGAATTTCAGATAAACAACGAATAATTTCTAATATAAGTATGTCCCACTACCGTAAGCGACAGATCAACTTTTAAAATGTGTCCCTCGTTTCTCTGAAAATTCAAATTAAAGTGGGCGTCCTGTATTCTTATCTGCTAAACAAGGCAGCGCTACAAACGGTACGCTCTGTACCACATAAAAGAATCCCCTTTTAAAGGAAGAGCTTAGAGAGATAAATACTAAAGGGAGATTACCAATACAATATCCAATAAAGCTCAGGGATATACGGGACTTCACTGAGCACCTTCTTTAAGCAGCTGATACAGACACAGGAAAATGCACATCTCCTCGAAGAGCCAACCCTTCAGTTCAGAAAAAAGAGAATTTCTCC